GAGCAGGGAGCCCGATGCGGGGCTCAGTCCCAGGACCCTGGGATCATGACCTGAGCTGAAGGCAGACGCTTAACGACTGAGCCACCCAGGGGCCCCGAGGACTAATTTTCATGCATAAAGTGTATTATGCATGTTACTATGATTTAACTTTAAAGATTTAAAGCCTTCATGTTGTAACTTGAATATTCATTGAACTTTTGATATTGTGAAGCTTTAATATTTTGTGATTTGAGGTCTTGATTTCTGATGTATTAATAAAACTGATTTCACTGTTCTCTTCTCTGAATCTTACCTTTTGAATATTTTTTCCTAGAGAAGAAATGGATCTAAAGATAGCCTGATTGAAGAAAAATCTCAGACATCTACAAGCAATCTAGCTGGAAAACACACGGCAAAAACAGTCAAAACTGTCCAAGCTTCACGCCTCAAGATAGAGACTTGACGATGCCCGGGCAGAGGGGCCTGGGATTGGGGGTGGGAGGGGGGTGTGCCACCTGTACCTTCAAACTGTGAATTGTAATTATTCAAGTATCTTGGACCTGCAAGTGCTTCTTCGGGGGAAAAAAAAAATCCAACCTGTTGCGTCTTTTAAAGGTTTAACAGCATTATTTGTGCAGAAGGGCCTTTTTTTTTTTGGTAACTGGAGTAGTCTTGTGAAAACTCATTCACTGGATGCCCTACTTTCCTTCCCGGAGACTCCCAAGTATCTTGTGTCCACGACCAAGACCAGATGCTTCCCATCAAAGCTCTGGCATCCAGGTGTGCAGCTGCCTAGCTGTGCAACAGCACACCAAGTGGATGAAAGGGTCCTTCCCACCTCTAGGTGGATCTCAGCCTGTGCACAGATGTCTGAAGACTGAGACATCACTTTCAGACTGCAGATGTTTTTATTCATATAAATATGTTCTTTGTAAGACTGTATTTTGTGGTATTAAGTTCCACTGGTTATTTACAAATGTAAAAAGCTTTTAAGTGTTGCTTTTAATTTCTAGTGTCCTTGTGTTTTCAGAAAACAGACTGTGTGGATTTCAGCTGACCTCAGCTTATGAATTCACGACCCTCAACCACAAATGGTCCCTCCATCCTGCCTAGCTACCGAACTCCCCCAAAGATGAATTCATTTGAGGGTGACTATCACAGGGAAAGTCAAGTACTCACGCAGGACATCTCACCACCTCCCTCCCACCACCTCCTCCAGAGCTGCCACCAACACTACCCGTCCCCACACCCATGCTCTGGAGCCCGGTCTCCTTTGGCCTTAGCTCTGTCACCTTACTCCTCTCAGCTAGATCCTTGCGACTTGGTTTAAACTGTTAACTCTCCCACCAAAAAAAGCCAACCAACTTTCACAACCACAAATCCCTCCCCAGTTCTCTTTCTTCAAGTTTCTCAAAAGGGTTATCTGTAGCCTGTGTCCTCAATCCATCTCCTAATCTTGATTTTAAACTGCTAAGATTCTCCCCCACTGCTCCACTACAGACCTCACTAAAACTACTTTGTGTACCAAATCCCAAGGGTAACTTTTAGGCTGCCTTGCAACATTTTTAGTGCAGTATTCCATTGTTTTCTACATTTCTCACCATCCTTTACTGCTCTTCAGTAAGACGCTATTCTACCTCGCCAATTTCTAACTCAAAAGCTCAGTCCTCTCCCTGTAGGTGGATCTCATTTATGCCCATAGCCTTAAAGTATTCCTATAGCTTAGTCTATAGATCAGTGTTCTGCCAGAAGGCCACTTAAGATGTCTCCAAGGCAATCCCAATTCAACTAGTTTAAAATGCTGCTCTCTGGCTGGATTTAGGACCATTATGCTTGTGAATGTGCAAGACCACACACCTAGCAGTCGTTATAGACACCTCCCCTATTACCAAGTCCTGTGAGCTTTGCCCTCTACAGCTAATGATCTCCACAAATTTTACCACCCTGGTCCATGGTGTTTGTCTCTTGCCTAGACAACCGCTGTATTCTCCAACTGGTCCACCGCATCCTTTCTCTGACAGATATTAACTATCCTAGGTTTCCCCTTGCTGTAAACAAAGCCGTAAATGATCTGGTCTCTTACCTGCTGTTTAGGCTCGTTTTGTAATACTCTGGGCTCAGCTAATAGCCGCCTTCAAGCCTCATTAAGCACTCATTTATAAATCAGGGCACTTAAGAGGGAAAGTAACTACAACTATCACAAATCTGGACCTTTTCTAGCCCAAGGCCTCTGCACATGCCATCCCCAACTTTGCCTTGCAAAAATGACACCTACCCTTAGGCTCAACTGCTTTCTCAGGTTTCTTTGTCTTAGTCAACTCATGCATGGGACTTGTCTCACAAAGTAAGTTTTATATTTGCAATGACATTTCTGCCATTCAACTCTCAGCTTCCAAAGGGAGGAACTGTTTTGCTCACCCTTGTGTTCCCACTTCCTAGTACATTATTGAAAAGTTCAATAAATTTTTTCAATGCTCAGACTATTTGTTCTTTCCTGAAAAGTGAAGGCAGAGGATGCGCTGACTGACATCTAGTAAAAATAAAAATGCAGTGACAATGTAAAACACCTGTGACCTAGAAACCAGCTAGTCTAGTTCAGTTCAGTTCATCATGCAGAAGGCACTGAAAGAAAGCACTTATTTCTCCTTGGGTGTAGCATAAACCTCTATCTCACAAGGCTATTCTTAACTGGTTGCGCTGAATACTAATCTTAACTACTGAGATTTAACCATTTTGAAATTGCTGGGGGAGGAAGGAGAAACCCTTCTTTTCCCTTTGATCTTTCAGTGAAGAATGCTATTTGCCGGTAGTTAATTACTTAATACACAAGCCTCCACGAAGCACAATGAAATATTTATTTGTAGCCCTACTGTTTTAAGTGTGTATTTATAGACTGTCCAAAAGCAGTAATTTTAGTACCCCTCAGGCTCCTGGGAGTCTTAAATGATCCAAGCAACTCTTGTCAAGATTTCCTATGATGTTTTTGAATTCTTCATCAAGGACATCCTAAAAAACAAAATAAAGCATTCAATTTGACAAGCAAATATTCACCTGTATCATCACTTAATTAAACAATTCATACTTCTCTGAATTGCATTAAGTTATGCAGGTCTGGACTCAGCTTTAAATGTCCACATAAAACATACCAGAGGTTTGGCTAAGTGTTTGAAATTTAGGTACTACACAAAGAAATACGTTATCTTAAAATTTCAAAAATAGGGTGCCTGGGTGGCTCAGTTGGTTAAGCGACTGCCTTCAGCTCAGGTCATGATCCTGGAGTCCCGGGATCGAGTCCCACATCAGGCTCCCTGCTCAGCAGGGAGTCTGCTTCTCCCTCTGACTCTCCCCCCTCTCATGCTCTCTCTCTGTCTCATTCTTTCTCTCTCAAATAAATAAAATCTTAAAAAAAAAAAAAAATTTCAAAAATAAGCTAGGAACAGGCCACCCTATTTGCTGTTAACTTCACCTTGTTGACTACAGGTGTTGCAGTACTAATTTAAGCTAACACCCACTAGAAAAGGCACCCCAATCTAGAAAGATAAAATTTTCATTAGGAGTAACCACTTTAGGACAGAACTACAAGGTAGCATCACCCTACCTTAGGTCACCTTTGTGCTCCCAGTGTTCAGCTGGCAGCAGTCTTTGCTTCAAGCATCCAGCTTTCACCTGCACCAAATTTAAAAACCGTTAAGAAAAACTACACACTTCATGTTGGCAAACTCAAGACCACATGTGTAAACTAATGTAAAAGCATCAACTGTTACTTATGCAGCTCCTCCACCAAAAATACCAAATTCAAGGGCAGGAAAAGGCTGCAAAGTGTTTAGTTTATGCCTTTTTTGACACCACATTCACTAGTTTCCAAAAGTGAACGGGCAACACAAAGGCTACAAGAAAACCGCATAAGGACTGCTCTATCCATGGCACAAAGTTGCTGACCCCATAATGAACTGTTCTGTGGGTTAGAGCTGGAAGGGGATTAATTACAGCTGTAGATTTTCCTTTACAATTCAAACCCCAAACTAGGTAACGAGAACTGCAATTTAAAATATTTTACGTGGTTAAAACTTTCAAGCTGCGAGGCAACTGGTTTTTCTTGCACGAACATGCAAACTCACCTGCAAAGTTGAGGACACTCTTTCGCCGAGTTCTGTGTCTTGAAACAACTATCAAGATCTAAACCTTAAATGGCACTTTACTCCTACGCTGACTTGATCTCAACTGTGATGCCGTAGGCATACATGCCCACCTATGGTGAGGCCTTTCTCTTTCACACGAAAAAATCCCCTGCTTACATGAGTATCTCCCTGACACGCAGTCGATGACCAATAAAATCAAATGCACTCAAACCCATCCATCTCCCATTTCCTGGCGTGGGTACGCAGCCTGGGGGCCGCTTCGGAGCCTCCTGCGGTCCACTGGCAACGTGGGCGAGGCCAGGCCGCTGCCGTCCGCCCTCCACGGACTCAGGGCACGGGATCCTCGGGGCCGGCCCGGCTGCGAAAGGCGTCTCACCACCCTCAGGGCGGCCGAGCGCCTCTGTCCGGCGCCCGGGCGCGTCAGAGGCCGAGAAGCCGTGCACGCCGAGGTCCCCACCATTCCGGAAGACGGAGAACAACTCCGCGCGACCCCAGCGCAGAATCAAGAAAGGGCGTAGGCTGCTCCCACAATGCTTTTCTACGACTGGAAGGACCCACTGTCCTGGGGGCGCGGGGAGGACGGACTGTACCACCGGCCGCCGCGCCCTCGCGAGACGCCGCCGTGTGGCGCGAGGGCGAAGTGCGCAGTGATTGGCCGTGGGGCGGGGCTCCAGGGGGAAAGAAGACGGAGGGGCGAGGGCTCGCGGTCTCGCCTTTGCGCTGTGCGACCAGTGCCTTCGCCCAGGCAGGTTTTCTTCCGTGTGGATGTGCACCCACCCCGCGCCCAGTGTCGGGAGCATGTGGTCAGCGCTGAGCTGCGGGTGTAGCTCAGAGGACCTGAAACCTCGTGTTCTTCAGTCTCCGGCTGAGGAAGAGTAAGGTCCTTCATTCAAAGACTAGATTTGTAGAGTACTTACTAGCTTCAGGCTCTGACCTCAGTGCCTGGGAATCAGGTGTGAATGAGCCCGACAGGCGTCCTGGCTTACGTTCTAGTTGGGCCAGAAAGGCACTAAACAGGTGACATGGACACGGTAGGTCCAGATAGTGTAAGTGCCAAGGAGGAAACAAAAGGAGGTTATGTGGTAGAGCAGGCTGTCCGATAGAAACATAGTGCGAACCACGAATTCCATTTTAAGTGTTCGAACTGCCACAAAAAAGTAAAAAAGAACAAGTTACATTAATTTCAGTAGTAACTTAACATGTAATCAATATAAAATCATTGATGATTAATGATATGCATTAGTGATATATTTTGCTTAAAAGTCCGGTGTATATTTTATACTTCCAGCACATTTCAGTTCAGACTAGTCACATTTCCAGTGCCGAGAAGCAGCCGGTGTGGCTGGAGCAGCCCGAGGAGTGCAGAACGGCCTAAGATGCAGCGGAAGAGACAGGTAGGAGCAAATCATATGAGGCTTTGTACTTGCGGTAGGAGTTGGGATTTTATGCTGAAATTTTAGAGTTGATTAATTATTACCACAGAAATGAAGCAGAGGTTGTTAATTGGCTTTTTGCCTGATAACCCTAACGCATTGAAGGGATAGAGACTGCAGTGAGATCTGCTGTGGGATAGCCAGGGGGTCTCCTTGCTCCTGTAGGTCCTAGCAGACTCATCAAGAGAACACATCCCAGCACCTTTCCTCGTTTCTTTGAAGCTAGTGAAAGAGAGAGAGAGAAGGAAGAAAGGAAAAAGAAAATTCAAGCCCGCATTCCACACAAAGACTAGCCTGAATGATAACAGCAACATGGGGACAATTGGGGACAGACAGAAGGAGTAAATGTGTAATGATCACAAGAAAGGAAATAGCGCAGACCTTTATTAGGAAGTCACTGTAACATCTGGGGGAAAAAAGGTTGGGGAAGGAGGATACCTCTAGGAGTATAATGTCAAGACATTGAATGGTACAGTGTGGGGTTTATAACAAATCTCAATCTTGCCTTCTTGCTAGGGAACAGTCAGGGAGAGAAATTTCCCTTGGGCTGGAGCAGCCAGCAGACCTGGGTTTATATCCAGCTCTGACACTTGTTCTTCTAGGCAAATAACCACCTCTTTGAGCCCCAAGGTTCCTCATTTATAGGATAATAACTATACCCATGAACCACATGTTAGTTTAAAGAATTAAGAAAGTCTTGCGGAATCGTCTAACACCGTGTAATACATAGTAACATACAACAAATGACTCTCATGAGCTTGGCTCTTCCTCTTGTTTATCCCCATCCCAGGTGTGGAATCTTCTTGGGTTGAGTTCTTAAGGAAAGGAGAAATATGTTGATGTTTTTCTTTTAATGGCTTGACATTTTTGTTCCCACCTTACACTTTCCTATTCTCCCCTTTATATTTCTTTCCCAAACTCTGGATGGTTCAAGAGTAGATAGAGGGGAGGCATTTGTTCCAGTTATTGCATTAGTGTTGGTGTCAGGAAATCCATTCTAAATTTTTCATCTTTCTGTCTACTTCAACCTCACACAGCCCGATAAGGAAAATCCAATAGTTAAACCAAGGCAAGCAGCATGGACAAAAGAAAAATTAGAGGATATTTTCTGCCTAGTTTTCCCATCATCTTTGCCTACTGGGGCTGAGGCATTATGTAAGGACGTGCAAGCTGCGTGTGGTGTTAGTGCAAACATGGAACAAGCTGGGGTTCCTTGTGCAGTAGGCAGAAGCATGGTCCCCCAAAGATGTCCACATCCTCATCTCCTGAGCCTGTGGATGTTTCATTATAGAGTAAAAGAGGCTTTGCAGATGTGATTAATGTTGGGGACTATGATATGGGGAGATAAAAATTGAAGAGGAAGGCAGAAGAATTAGAGATGTGGCAGAAGAGAAGGCGGGAGAGGGACTCAACCTTCCATTGCTAGCTTTGAAACTGGAGGAAGAAGATCTTTGAAGCCAAAGAATGCAGTTTCAGCTCTAGAAGCTGGGAATGGCCTTCTGCTGACAGCAAGGAACCAGGGACTTCATTTCTACAACTGCATGAAACTGAATTCTGCCAACATCCTGAATGAGCATGGAAACAGACTCTCCCCTAGAGTCTCCAGAAAAAAGTACAGCCCTGTTGATGCTTTGATTTTAGCCAGTGACGCTCATGCCAGACTTCTGACCTACAGAGGTGTGATCATAAATTTGTGTTGTTTTAAGCTGCTAAATTTGTGTTAATTTGTTGGCAGCAAGAAAAAAAGCAACACACCCTGTAAGGGGCAGAGTGAGAAGTGAGCTGTTTTTCTTACCCCACTCCTTCTTGTCCCACACCAGTGTTCTCATCAGGAACATAAGTCAGATTTTGCAGATAAGCTATGCACATTTCATTCTAACCATATAGAGTCAATATTTGTTATGGTGGGTGCTATAGATCCAAATTAATATCCAATAGATATTAAATAATTTGAATACTTTTTATAACATCAAGTCATCTGTAAATTTTGGGGGGTTTTCTTCTTAAAAAAATCATATTTTCTGCAGAAGCTTTATTTCTTCCTAATTCTTGTACTGTGTGTGTGTGTGTGTGTGTGTGTGTGACAAAGAACGTCCAAACTAGGGCCTCTAGGACAGTGTCTAATAGGGAGATAATAGTAGACATCCTTGTCTTGTTTGTGATTTTAT